AAAAAAATTAGTTTCCTCAAAATTTATTCTAAAAAATTACATCAAAGTGTCTCTCAAGTATTTTCACCGGTAATATATACTTAGAAGGAAGTTTTAAGCTTAACCATAATTAAAACAGCGTAAAAAAAGATGGATTTATATTGTCTCTCGGCCCCGCGTAATGTATAAATGCGTAAGAGCGCTAAGCGACATACTTAACACAACTTTTCATTTATGACACCGTTATGTTAAGTATGGAGTTTAGAGATAAACGAAGGATATTAAGTGATCTTATTCTGATAACTCATTGATAAACAACTTAAACTTGGTCGAGACTCAATTTGGCTCTATCCGTTTTTGCTAGTCGAGACATGAGTTAGCATTAAGCCCTTGGTTGGCTTCCATTAAATTAAATTAAATTACATTAATTTTTTTCTCTTTATTACAACTACACATTCATCAAATAAAATAATATTACACACAATTCTAAAATTTTTTCACCACACATTCTCTCATCGATCACTATTGCAAAAATTTTCAATTATCAAAACTGTCAAATAATGGGGGCCAAACAGGGGCTAAATGTCTTCATTAGCAAGTATAGAAAATATGTAACTACGTTATATTTGACATTTTATTTGACAATCGAATAACCTATAACTACTATAAAATGACATGGTACTTGCCTGAACAAGATATTTGAGTGGTTCAATCAAATAAAAGGAATTTATCGGCGTACGAGCCTTTTTAGCCTAGACCATTCCGCCGGTGGGCCCTTAATGTTTGGGGATCCAAATTGTAATGATTTATATAAAATTGTACACGTACACTTTTGACATAAATCTGAGGAAATTGCAAAAACTTTCAGTCCTGTTTGGTATATATTAAAATTTTCATTTTCATTCTTTTACTCATTTTCAACCACACATCTTTCAATAAAATAATAATTTTCATCACACCAATAACTTTTTCTTCTTTTTCAACCACACATTCTCTATCAATCTATTATTTCAAAATACATTTTTCCAAAATAATGTGGATCAAACACATCAATATCTATTTTACTATTATATAGACCAAAATGCTTCATAACAATTTTAAATTCCACAATGAGAACAAAATTATTTATATAATTAAAAATTGTATTGATCAATAATAACTTGACACATAATCTATATTACTTATTTTAAAAATTACCATGTGAACAAGGATTGACCCGGGGGTGTCCTGGCCCCCAACTTTTGAGTTTATATATATATAATCATGTTTGGTATCGATTGAAATATAAATTTTAAATTAAATCAAAGTTAACAATTAATTTTAATAACATATTTCATAAAATTCATAACTATTTAAGATTTATCAAAATTTATTTAAAATTTGATTTAATTTCCATCAAATTGGAGTAAAATCACAATAAATTTAAATTTTTCTATTTTCCCCTCGTCTTTTAAAAAAATCTTAACTTTCCATCAAATAAGGACGAAATATTGCATTCTTAATACCATTTCGAAATGTTCACGGTCTAATTCTCTACGTCGTTGATGACGTACAAAACGATCAATCGCAGCAAATGCTACGACTTGTCAAAGTAAGCCGTTCAAAATTGGTATTTCGAAAATTTNGTACAAATCGATCAATCGCAGCAAATGCTACGACTTGTCAAAGTAAGCCGTTCAAAATAGGTATTTCGAAAATTTTGATAATATGCTATCTTTAAAAATTCTTCGATCGTACGCTAATCGAATATACAAATTGCTTATGTAATCTCAAAACTTATTTCGAGAACTACATTATAATCATATCAAATAATCCAAACATATATTGAAAATAGTTAAAAATGCATTAAACGTGAGTTTTAAAGAAAGACGTTTAAATCGCATTTTTTTTAAAAAAAAATTCAATTATTTCATTAACATTTATTATTTTTGCAGTACAAATTTCTCAATATAATTTCATTCTTTAATTAGGAAACTTTATATGGAATATAATATAAAAAAATTTCAAAATTTTACATCTGAAAAACTCATATCTCATATAAATTTTTGGATACAAAATTACATGGTATATGATTTTTTTGGACATAAATTTTCGGTTGTAAAATTTTCTCAATTTCTTTGCAAGTTCGATTGTGCCCCCTAACTTTTAACTTTTACGTCCGCCCCTGAATGTGAATCATGCATTAAATGATCACTTATCCTTATAAATAGGTAAATAATATATTTATGAAATATCGAGAAGTATACTAAAAATATCAAGAACATTATGAAATATAGAGAACTCTCATATTTAGAACAAAATCTCGTTCTAAACAAATGAAGTGTCAAGATAAACATGATTTAAATGTCGATAAAAGCTTTTAAAATGTTGAAAATGTCATGAAATGTCAAAAATAACAACTATTAAACACAACTTACCAACAAAAACAAAATTGCAAAGGAAAACAACATTTTACCAAGAATTGTGGTAAACCTAATCAACTGCAAAATTGGATGAGATTAATTTTTTAAAAATAAAATTATATGATTTTCTTATGAATTAGAAGCATATTATTATTTTTTAGTGTTAAATGACTTTTCTACTTCATCTTCTTCATTTTTTCCCAAAGTTCTTGGTCAGTACCTAATAGATAATAAAAGCAAATGAATTCATTATATATTAGCTAGTATTAATGTAACTTCTCATGGAGGCTATCTATCGTTTCGAAATTCGTTACAAATTGAAAAAAAAAAATTGTTTCATTTTTCATTAAAGGAAAAGTTATTAATGTGATGGAAAATGTTATTTTATTGAAGAATGTGTGGTTGAAAATGAGTAGAAGAATGAAAATAAAAAAAATAATGTGGGTCAAACAGGGACCTAGTATTGAAACATTTATCTAACAAAAAAAAAGTGGATTTAGCTTTACATTTGAAGAGTCAAATTCACTTTTTATTTCAAATTGGAGTAATGTTATTTTATCTTCATTAGAGACAATCACTATATGATGTGGAATTAAATAATAATTAATAAAGTAAATTTTACATTAATATATTTCATTGACTTTATCATTTCATAATAAATCACATATCATATAGACTAGTGAACATCTCTGATGGACGAACATAATATCATAATTTAGATTTAAAAACAAAGAGTGTGATGGACTCCGTTGCGAAATCACCAAAGGTCCAGTGATAGCAAACTCCCTCACCGAAATTTGAAAAGATGATTGCCCTAACTGGAATTTGGAAAGAAAATTAGTATACATTAATCTCATATATTTGTCATGTGATTTTGCTAAGAAATTTGATGAAAGAACTCGACACGGAAAAGATGACCCAATGGAGATCTTTGTTGACAACAAAAAGTTAATTACATTAATAAAGAATCTTATGTTCCACATAAAATTAAGAACATCAACATAAGGTATCAAGAGAGCTAAACAAGAGTGGAAGACCGGAAGTGGAATTGAAGCATGTAAAGACCAAGAGAAAATGGGACGTCTTCATCAAACCATAGGAAGTCCTCTTTTCAATTTAAGAAATCTACTTTGGACTTAAAAAATTAGGTTTTAAGGGGTGTTGAGAAATGAACTTGATTTTGGCCAATTAATTAGGCGTATGTTTAATATAGATTTTCTATCTAAGTTCTAGAAATTTCCACATTATTAGTCCAATTTCTAGAAAAATCCTAGCTAAGAAATGTCTAATTTAGGAAAATAATTGACACTTGCCTATAATTGTTACGTGCTCAAGATGGGTTTTTTGGATTTTGCGGGCTTGTTGATTTCGACCTCATATTTTGTGCTCTATTTCATCTATAACTCTAAAAGAAGGCTCTTATAAATACTTCACAGGGTGCAGGCTCTCAACATAATA